CCAGAGGTTCTCCTGACTGTGGGTGGATCACCTCCCCTGGCGAGGCCTCCGTTTTCTCATCTTAGAGGGACAGGACCGCCATGCCCCCCGCAATGCCCCAGCGGCCGGTGCTTGTGAGCGTGAAGCAGTGCCGGGTGCACACTGTACCGGCTGCCCGCAGAGCAGGTGTCTGGTGGTTATTAGTGTGAACCTCTTCTTGATTATGTTCCTTGCGGAAGAGACCACATCAAAGTCACCTGCCCTTCCACAGGGGCTGCAACAGAATTTGCTCAAAAACCTTTTATCGACCTCGTGACACTGTGTGGTGACAGCTGGATGTGCCGGCTCCAGCTGTGCCAGCGCTTTGTGCGAGGAAACCGCTCAGGAGAACCTGTTAACACTGAACAGGTGCCCAGTGACAGAGCCACTCCTTCCTGGGCAGCGCCCCGACAGGAATGGGTGCTGTGTCCGCCTCGGAGACAGACAGGGCTGTTCAGAGTGGCCTTATCTATTTCCCAGCACTGGGAGCAGGGGAGTGCGATGTATTCACACCATGGTATGTTTCCACACATTCACACTCACATTGGAAAATAAACCGCTAATAATGCAGCCACAAGAACGAAGGTCAGAGACATAATATTGAGTGCAAGAAGCCAAACCAAAAGCCATACACAGGCTATGTGAGTCCATTCACAAAAATGTCAAGAAGAGACCTATGAACCGTGGTGCTGTAAGCCAGATGCAGCTGCCTCTGTGGTGGCGGGCGTGGTCGGGAAGGGCTGCTGGGCCTGCTCCGGTCTCGATCTGGGCGGTGGTCACATGCGTGTGCATGTGTCCCTCAGTCTGTACCCTTCACATGTATGCACTTCGTGGTGTGGACGTTAGTTGGGTGTTTTGTGTGTTTTAAAAAAAGAAACACAGGAGCTTGGCTTAACTCTCGCTGCTACTTCCATGCCGAGCAACCTGCTGCCCCGCCCTGCCCTGTGGGCGTCGCCCTCGGCAAGGGGGTAGCATCCCTGTCACAAAGGGCCCTCAGGGGCGAGACGGGAGGGAAAGCACTGGGCACAGGCCTGCCCCAGGAAGAATTCCATAATTGGTGGCTATAATCCATAGTGAAAACTGGGTAACACCTGTGTGAGACATTCATTCCACAAATATTTACTAAGTTCTCCGTGTGCCATGGGCTGAACTGGCTCTGCAGAGGGAGCAGGGAGCAGGACAGGCCTGGCCCTTCCGCTCCTGAGTGGACACTCTGGTCCCTTCGCTCCCTCAGCACAGCGGCACTGGGGCCTGCCCACGCGGCACAGCTGTGAAGGCTTTGGCGGGCCCCACGCCAGCCTTGCTGGCTACTCCAGAGGGCCTCCCAGGCAGCAGCCCTCTGTGCCTGTCACCACTGGAGGGGCAGATGGGAGGGAGCTCCTGAGTGAACCCCAGCTTCCTGGACTCGCTGTGTGGAGCCGGGCGTGGCTGCCATCCCTTCAGGGCCGCCGGAGGAGAGCCAGCCCTTCCCGCCTCCTCGCCGAGACTCACTTGGCCTCCCTCTCCCATCTCCTTTCTCACCCTCCTGCTGCTGCTTCTTGGGACCATCTCCCCCCAAAACGACTTCTCCCCAAATCCTTGTCTCACAACCTGCTTTTAAGGAAGCCCACCTGAGAGCTGCCATGGGCCACAGGGTGGGGGACCGGGACCAGGGGGAGCAGGACCAGGGCTGCGGGCCCAGCTGCCCCCAGGACGACGATCCCCACCTTTTCCATCTCACGGACACGGACTAATCACTGAGACTCTGCGGCACACCAAAACATATATTTTTTGCTGATCTGACAACAAAAAGGTGTAACGTGGATTCATTCCCACCAGACGCTGTTGTGTTGGCCTTTCTTATCTGACGACCTGGGGAAAGGGGTCACCGCCCTGACTACAGGCCAGTTTGCGTGTTTTAAACACTCTTGCAGCACATCGTGTGCCACAGCTGCCGGCGGGGGTCACCGCTCAGGACAGCCGCCGTGGAGCTGCTCAGTTTCTGGAAGATTCTGCAGAGAGCGGGAGGCCTGGTTGCGGCCTCCGCTCGGCTCCGGCTGCCCTCCAGTTCCGAGTCCTGAACCCGAGCCCCTCGGTGGCCACAGGCACCTGGGCAGGAGGGCTAGCTCTCAGCAGGGCCGCACGCTGGTCCTGGCCCAGGAGAGGAGGCACGTGCACCAAGGGATGGAGGCAGGTCACCCCAGGGCGGCCATCCAGAGCGCCCCTCCGATGGCCTGCTGCTTTCCCCTCCCCGAGCGCCCGACACACCCCGCACTGGCCCGACAGGGCTCTGACAGCTCACGAGCACCGAGGCCAATGGCTTCCTGAAGGTCTCTGAGCTGCCGGCCTCCCTCTGCTCCCGTGGCGGCTGGGCTGTGGCCTTTGCAGGGCCGGGCGGACTGCCCCAGGTTCGGTGCTGGGATGCGGGGCCCAGGCAGTGCGGATGGGATTGGACGTCTGGGTGCAGGGGCCGAGCCCTCGGGGGCCAGGGCAGGGCTGCCACCTGGCTCCAGCAGCCGAGGGGCTCAGGTCTGTCCTGCCTGCTGGGAAGCCTCCAGCTCTGCATCAGCAGCCACAGGAAAGAGAATGGCTCCTAACGGGCGGGCCTGGCAGAGGGGACCAGGCCTGGTGAGGGCACGAGGGCGGGCCTACTCAAGTGACTGGGCGTGTATAAGAGGGAGAGTTGGACGCACAGGCAGACATGCACGGAGGGAGGGTCATGTGAAGAGACCCAGGGAGAAGGCGGCCGCCTGCCAGCCCAGCAGAGAGGCCCTGCCAGGTCCTCCTGTCCCGGCCTCAGGAGGAGCCATCTGCCGAGGCCTTGGCTGGGCCTCCACCCAGTGGTCCCCCACTTGTGAGCTGCAGTCTGGGGTCTTCGTTCACAGCCCTGTGAGGAACACATCTTTACTGAGCCACACAGCTGAGCACTGAGCAACGCAAGCCACTTCCACACAGGTTTTTTCAACAAACATTGGACTTTGTTTTGGAGATTTGCAATAATTTGAAAAAACTCAGACAAACTGTGTGGCCTAGAAAAAAAATTGTGAAAAGGTCATGTCATAAAATAACAAAATATATCTAGATACTAGTCTATTTTATTATTTACTACCATAAAATACACACAAATCTATTCTAAAAAGTTCAAACGTATCAATATTTCACACAAAACCGCAGACCATCCATGGCACCATCTACAGCCAAGAGCAGTGGGAACAAGCGTGGGGCTGCAGCGTTAAGTCCTAACTGCGTGCCTTCAGCCAGCCGCTGGTCCTCTCCACACGAGCGCTCCGTCTGCCCAGCAAACTGCGTGTTGCCGTAAGAAGTGATCTCTCCGAAGTCCTGTGCCTGTTCATCGTGCTGTGCAATACCATGGCCCGGGAATGGCACCGTGGGACCCAGAGGGCCACTGGGGCTGCGGGGAGTGCCCCCGCGAAGCAGAGGAGAGTCAGCACGTGACAAGGAAAGGCTGGCCTGCTCGCCAGGCACGGTGGGCTGAAGTCTGCGGCGCTGGCTGCCTGCCAGCTCAAGGTGAATGCCTCAGCCTCGGGGCCACGGACGCGGATGGACGTGCACGGAGCCGTTGCAGCAGCTCCACAGCCGGCGCCAAAGCCTGGCGCTTTCTGCAAAACACCTTGTAATCTCATGGAAAATGCAGCCTTTATGTGGGTGCCGGGTTGCTATGAGCAAGGCATACCTGTAGCTAATAAGATTTGGAAAAAAGTGAAGTCATTGTATGACAACTTACAGCAAAAGGAAGGGGAGGAGCGGGAGCTGAAGAATACATGCCAGCAAAGGGTTGATTATCTTAGAAACAAATTTGGCTTAAAAGACGTCAAATAGCAGGAGAAGCAGCTTCTGCCAACCAGGAGGCAGCAGGTGGGTTCCCAGATGCCATTAAAAAGCCTGAGCAGGTTGTTAATGAAAGTGCCCTGTTCTGGGGGGGGCGGGGGGAGACCACTTCTACTACAGTGATTAGTCAGTAGAGAGTGAGCACCTGGGCCCCAGGAGGAAGGAGTCGACTAAGTCGGCTGTTTCTGCACAAGCAGTGGGTGACGGCCAGGACGGCGTGTCCACGCAGCTGCTCACCGAGCCTGCCGGGGAGGAGGCTGGCCCGCGGGGCCCTCTGCAGTGGCTCCCGCGCTGCTGTGCCCGAGTGAGGAAGCGCCTGGCCGGGAAGCGCCTGGGGAAGTTATCTGGACATTGGACAAGGCCCCACCGGCCAGATCCCCATGGTGCCCACACCAAAGGCATGGGCGTGGGGCACGTACCCCGCACACAGTGTCTCTAGTTCAGCCTCCAGATCGGGGTCGTAAGGATCTTTCGGGCTCATCACACGGGACTCTATGGGAAGGATGAGGACTGTCCATGCCAGGAAAGAGAACCCCAGCACAGAGAACATCATGGAAGTCGGGCAGGATCACACAATGAAGATGCCACTGTTGTTCTAGAAAAGTCTGTGGAAACCGTCAGGCCCCAAGCAGCACGTTCCTGCTGGCGACGCTGCGTCCAGTGCTGTGCCCGACTCAGAGGATCTGCGAGGAGCGGCCAGGAAGCCATCGAAGGGGAGGGGCGAAGGCTTTGAGCTGTGAGTCTCGGCGCCCTGGGTGGTGTGGCTCAGTGGGTTAGGCGTAGTCCTGTGCACCGAAAGGTGCCGGTTCAATTCCTGGTCCCGGGTTGTGGGCTTGATCCCTGGTAGGGGGTGTGCAGGAGGCAGCCAATCAATATTTCACTCTCATGTCAATGTTTCTCTCTCTCTCCCTTTCCCTTCAAAAATATGTTTAAATCAATAAAAAAAATTAGAAAATAAAGCTATGGGTCTTGGAGAAACTCAAGAGCTAATAGATGCCACACCAGAGGGACTGCCAGAAGGCGGCTTGACGGAGGTGAGTGCTTCAAACCACTGGGGACAGTGAGGAGGGCACGGAGGACGCAGAGCCGGGAAAGAACCCGACATCGGCACCTGGCAGAAGGGCGCTGCCCTCTCGAGACTTCTTCTCCGCCATGACCCCCTGCGGCACGGCCCCGAGCCTAGAGCACACGCAGCACATGGCGAGGGAGGGTGGGCACTGCATGGGAACATTTCTAAAGAAATGAAAAAGCAAAGGAGTCAGACAGCAGTTGTGATATCTTCCCATCGAGTTATACGGCACGTGCCTGCCTCTCCGCTCAGCTGCTCCACGTGGGGATGGCGAGGAGGGCCCCCCCACCTCGTGAATACCAGAGAGTCACCCTGCCACGCAGGGAGCAACATGTCTGTGTGTGAAGCAGCAAGAGCGTGGGAGATGGCCCTGCATCTCGTCATCTTCGCCTAAGGATCCGTCACGGAGAGTATTGTGTGCAGGACCTGCACGGAAGGGGTAGAGTATTTCTACATAGACACATGGCGGGTGATATTTAATACAGAATTAAGAATGTGTTAATTTTCTTACTGTTTTATAACTTTGCTTTCAAAGAATTACATTACTGTATGGTCTCTCTCTCTCTCTCTCTCTTTCTTTCTGTCGTAACTGGAGAAACTTCGATCAGCCTGTCAGCACCGGGAAATTGTTTTGAAAAGTGCCGCAATGCTTTCAAGACGACTATGAATATATATGCCTGTAAAGCCGTAGCCATGACAGTCACAGCCCTCCATCCACTGTGCGCAGGCTGAGACATCACGGAGCAATCGTGTCGTCCACAGCCAGCCACCGTAAAGCATCGCTGCTGCGGCTTCGTTAGCAATGCATGAATCGTTAATGCCTCTAAATAAATTTGCATTCCTTTTCACTTTATCTTTTCATTTTTGATGTCTAATATTATAACATTTGCAGTGCTTTGAGTCATATAAGACATTATATTGATGTAGGCACTGATGAGAAACGATTCATCTTGCAATAGTATCGATAAATACAGTGTAATACTGTAAATGTATTTTATGTTTCTTATGATTTTCTTAACATTTTCTTTTCTCTAGCTTACTTTATTGTAAGAATACAGCATATAATACATATAACATATAAAATACTTGTTAATTGATTGTTTATGTTCCCGGAGGCCGCCCAAGCAATATTAGGCTAGTTAGGGGGATCGAAAGTTACACTCGGATTTTTTATTGCACCAGCAGGGGTGGGGTGCATGTAGGTACATGTGTTATTCCAGCATCAGTTCGCGCATCACAAAATTCACTCGTTTAAAGTGTACAGTGCAGTGCTTTTTGTTCTGTTCATGGAGCTGAGCTGTGTAGCTCACACCGTGGCCTAGACGTGGAGCGGGTTCTTCGCTGCGGGGAAGCCCTGTGCCGTCACGCCATTGGCCGCCTCCTCTTCACCCGCCACTGGCACTGAGAAGCCTGCTTCCTCTCCCCACTGCCGGCCTGTCCTGGACGTCTCATCTGCATGGATCACACCATGTGGGCCTTTGCCACCGGCTTCTTTCACTTCGCAGAATGTGTTCAAAGTTCATCCACATTGTAGCATGTATTGGTATTTCGTTCCTGTTTAAGGCTGAACACATATCCCACTGCGTGGGCATACCACATGTGATCCATCCACTCATCTGTTGATGTGTAATTTAATTTTGTTTTAGAAAGAGGATCTGAAGTATAACCAAATGTTCACATTGATTAAATCAGAGTCCTGAGAACATGGGTATTTGCTATGTTTCTTTATATTTTTCTCGATGTTTGAGAGGTTTCATCATTTTTAATGCTAATAAATAGATTTTTATTTTATTTTTAATATTTTTAAAATACATACTAGAGCATGAGTTTCCTGCCATTGAAGAAAGAAAATAGTTGTAGACATATTAAAGGGGAAAATGGGTCTAATATTAAGGAGCAAGAAAAAGGATTCCAGAACCTTCTTTCCCAGCGCACTGTGCCTGTGACCAGTGCAGGGACAGTGTGGACACGCGCCTGGAGGACAGAGGTCACGCCCTGTGGCCGTGACCGGTGCAGGGACAGCGTGGACACGCGCCTGGAGGACAGAGGTCACACCCTGTGGCCGTGACCGGTGCAGGGACGGCGTGGACACGCGCCTGGAGGACAGAGGTCACGCCCTGTGCCCGTGACCGGTGCAGGGACGGCGTGGACACGCGCCTGGAGGACAGAGGTCACGCCCTGTGCCTGTGACCGGTGCAGGGACAGCGTGGACACGCGCCTGGAGGACAGAGGTCACGCCCTGTGCCTGTGACCGGTGCAGGGACAGCGTGGACACGCGCCTGGAGGACAGAGGTCACACCTGCGGTGCTCTCAGCTGCCTTCCTGGCAGGGCTGCGCTCGCCTGGGGTGGAAGGGGCTCCTCCCGAGAGGGGAAGAAGCCAGCTGTGCTCCTGTGGCCCGGCCGCCAGTCCCCGCCCCTCCCTACCTGAGAGCTCCCTCCAGCCAGACTGTGGGAGCCCCCCTCATGCGCTGATGGGGAGCCCCCTGCCTCTGCCAACCACCAGGGCTGGGACCCCAGGGTCTCCTTCCACTAGAGAGATAGCCGGGTGGCGTGGCCCCCTGTGAAGGTCTCAGAGGTCAAACTCATGGGGACCCAGGCCTGGTCTGACTCATCACCGCTGCTCATGGACACCAGCGCCCGGCTTTATGTCTACTTCATCCTCCCAGCAGCTCCGAGGAGGACCCCAACCCCCTATTTGAAAGGTGGGCACAGGGGCCAATGCCCTGGCCAGAGGTCCATGCTGGGGAAGGCACGGCCGGGACTCAGGTTTATTCTATACCCCACACCCTCCTTGTTAACTCACATCCCCAGCGTAGATCAAAGGTCCTGGGACTCCCCAACTTAGCTGATCATGGGGTCCCAGCTCCCCTAACCTCTGGGAGCAGCCTCCAGGGCCCATCCTGGGCAGTGCCCCTGGGCCTCCCAGACCCTGCTTGCTGATAGCAGCTTTTCCTGGGTGCTGGCAGCAGCAGTGAGACCAAGCTGTCTGTGTTTTCCTGAGCCCTGAAGTTCATAGCAGGAAAATCTACATTTTTTTTTCACCCAAGGGGACGCCCTAACTGGCAACAATTGTGCCATGAGGGTGCACATTAGTGTGGTGGCTGAAATGTCGCCTGGGTCTAGCCGAGAGGAGCTCAGCCCCCCTGGGATTGGAAGTGAAGGGCGAGGAAGGCCTCGCCCCGCCCCCGCTGGCTGAGCCCCGGAGGGACGCCAGCAGGCCCGGTCCTTCAGGGAGAAGCCCAGGAGCGGTTCTCCCGATTGAGCTTCAGAGGAAGCTGAGCTGGACTGGGAGGGGGACAGACAGGGCTGGGAGGGGGACAGACAGGACTGGGAGGGGGACAGACAGGGCTGGGAGGGGGACAGACAGGGCTGGGAGGGGGGCAGACATGTCCTCCCCCAGGACTGGCTTCTTTCCTTGAAACCTTGCAATGAGACTGCCTCCCCGCTGGGCCGGGCCCTGGGGGCACCACTGACATGCTGGGCCCTGGCTCCTGTGGCCCACATGCCGGGCCCCTGGGGCCCTGAACCACCAGCGGCTGAGCTGGCCCCGCCCACCATCGCGTCCCAAGAATGTGGACATCTGGCCGCCCACAGTCTTATCAGCTCAGCCGTCTCAGGATGGCTGGACAAAGGGCATGGGCCATGTTAGGACTCCTGGGATTCTGGGAATTTTCTTTGCCCCCAATCCAACCCTAAATTGCCAGATCTCAGAGCTGGAGGGACCTTCCTCTACCTCCTCACCGAAGGGGAAACTGAGGCCCAGAGGGGACAGGGACTTGTCTGAGGACAGGACAGTTTTGTCCGTGCAAGGGCCCTGCCCCCGACCCTCCCGAGAAAGAGTGTGCCCCGGCGCCCGGCCCGGGAGGCCGGCGGCAGAGGCTGGTGGTGGTGGGTTCCCGTAGAGGCACCCAACGCAGTTGGAAGCTTGCGAGCTCGCCCAGACTTGCCAGGAGGATCTCAAAGGATCACCCATCCCTTTAGGAGCCTGGAGGCCAGAGGGGGAGGCAGGCTGCCGGCCGCCGCGGAATGAGGTGTGAGGAGCAGAGGCGAGGTCAGCGCGGAGGCGTCCAGGCTGGGCAGTCG